GACACTTCAGAGGAGGTCTCCACCACTGACACTTCAGAGGAGGTCTCCACCACTGACAGACACAACCGCTTCGGCGTTTATCTGCGCTCGCTGCGGTCAGGTCTGCCGTTCTCGGGTCTTCACAGCCACAGCAGACGTGGCACCCAAGCAGACACCCAGGGCACAACTGTATAACCCCACGGGGTTGACGGGTGCCAACTTCCACTACTTTACAGCTAGGAGATATAACGGCTTATGAAGTGAGAGGAAAGTTGCCTAATTGTTTCTGTCCTACCTAGGCATCGAACCCGGGGCCCCCTCGGGTGTGAATCAAAGACACAGACCACTATGCTAAAGCTTACATACATTCACTGCGGCGTTAATAAAACATGTAACGTTCTAGTGGGTGTTGTAGCTCTTGGGCTCCTTGATTATGCATCACCTGCCACAGATACCAGACCTCAGGTGGGCCGCCAACGGCCTGGAAAATAGCTTAAGTTTCTTCAAAATTTACACCTGAAGGGAGATCATTGCCGGTATAATAGACCTGTCATGTTTACCGTTGCTGGCTTGCAACATGTTAAGAGAAGGTTATTATCTGCAGCAAACTCCAGACTATGTGACTATATTGAACTTGGGAGGGATATGAGACAGACTAAGAGCTGGGATATATAATACAACCATATATAAGAAAAATATCATTTTTATGGGGCCCACGTGATCAAGACAATTATTATTTGTGTTGATCAGGTGGGCCCCATAAAAATGAGGTGATTGGATGAAAAGCTATGCCCAGGATTACCATCAAAGTGCCGTCGGGGTGGTGGTTCAAATAGCCTCGGCTATCACCACTTTTTGTACGGTCACTGATGGTCGAGTGGTTTAAGGCACCGTGTACACCAGTTGCAATGTGCTCCTGGCGGTCCGGGTTCGAGTCACTTCTGGGGTGTCAAGTTTTCATTCGCATATATACTTGGGGACCATTCAAGCTTGTTTGCATATATATGTATATATAATGGTTCCAAGGGGTTGTCATAGCCAAGGGGTGGTAATGGGGGACGAGCTCCCATGACCTATAAAATGCTCCTATACGGCATGCGTCTCCAGTAGCCTCTGACAACCAAGTCCAACTCCTGGCCTGCACGGGTGGCTTAGTCTAAGTCCGGCGGAACTGCTTTTACCGACAGGAGAAGGGGCGAGGGTGTGCCTCTGGCGCCTTAAAACCAGCTGCTCCGGGTAGATGGGATTCGATAGCCTGGGAAGGCAGCCCATCTAGGGGAAGGAAAACCCTGATTCTAAACCTCCACTGCCTTGCGGCCATACCCTTTTTGGGAAAGGCTTCAGGAGTCAACCTCGAGGAAAAATCCGGAGTTGGAGCCCCTAAGGCAGTTCGTTGTTGACGTCGACCTCGTTCTGGCAGCTCCTACGACAGTGCTGGAACCATGTGTATTGGCATTTGCCTTTAAATTGGATAATTTCAGCAACGTGGAGAGGGGGGCCTGCTGCATGGGTAACAGCTTCTCCTCCATATCTACCTACCCAAGCTTTGTGCCCTGTCAGGGCGCAACTCCATAGTCTTCCGAGACTGAAGGATGCCTACTACCTTATTTATTTATATATATATATATATGTCGTACTTAGTAGCCAGAACACACTTCTCAGCCTACTATGCAAGGCCCGATTTGCCTAACAAGCCAAGTTTTCATGAATTAATTGTTTTTCGACTACCTAACCTACCTAACCTAACCTAACCTAACTTTTTCTGCTACCTAACCTAACCTAACCTATAAAGATAGGTTAGGTTAGGTTAGGTAGGGTTGGTTAGGTTCGGTCATATATCTACGTTAATTTTAACTACAATAAAAAAAATTTACCTCAAACATTATGAAATGGGTAGCTTTATCATTTCATAAGAAAAAAAATTTAGAAAATATATTAATTCAGGAAAACTTGGCTTATTAGGCAAATCGGGCCTTGCATAGTAGGCCGAGAAGTGCATTCTGGCTACTAGGTACGACATACATATATATATATATATATATATATATATATATATATATATATATATATATATATATATATATATATATATATATATATATATATATTTCATTGAATATGACCGCATATTCTGTATTTATTATTTTCTGGTTTAGGGCTTCTATCCCTCTAACTATTTTCTTAGCATCAGGGCTTAATTGGAATAGGAGTTCTCCAAAACTCATTTTCGTACTTTTAAGGTGAAGAAAAGAAGTGATTTACTATAGAGTGTATTACACTTATTTGTATATAATATATATATATATATATATATATATATATATATATATATATATATATATATATATATGTGTGTGTGTGTGTGTGTGTGTGTGTGTGTGTGTGTGTGTTGGCTCTTTGATTCCGCCTCTCAACTGTCACTCAACAGGTTATCTTCTTGAGGTTATCTTGAGATGATTTCGGGGCTTAGCGTCCCCGCGGCCCGGTCCTCCACCAGGCCTTCTTTTTGTTACACACCCCCAGGAAGCAGCCCGTAGCAGCTGTCTAACTCCCAGGTACCTATTTACTGCTAGGTAACAGGGACATCAGTGAGAAACAAACTTTTTGCTCATTTGTCTCTGCCTCCACTGGGGATCGAACCCGGAACCTTAGGACTACGAATCGGAAGCGCTGTCCACCCAGCTGTCAGGCGCCCCTGACAGCTATAGTGTAGAGGTTCGTGAGCCTACTGGGCTACCACAGCCCCGACCTCCACACAACCACAGCTGATGTTCTCTACCTCAGTGAGGAGTGAGGGGCAAGACAGTAGCAGCTTCTCTCACCCTTCCCAGGAGCCACTTGTCTGGCGCCCCACTGTGTAACTCACCCACTTTGTGCTTAATGGTCAGGCAAGCGTGGTGCAGTGTAGCTGGGGGTGTAGCTGGGACACCCTGGGGTCCTGGGGTGTACCTGGGACACCCTGGGACCCTGGGGAGTAGCTGGGACACCCTGGGACCCTGGTGTGTAGCTGGGACACCCTGGGACCCTGGGGTGTACCTGGGACACCCTGGGACCCTGGGGAGTAGCTGGGACACCCTGGGACCCTGGGGTGTAGCTGGGACACCCTGGGACCCTGGGGTGTACCTGGGACACCCTGGGACCCTGGGGTGTACCTGGGACACCCTGGGACCCTGGGGTGTAGCTGGGACACCCTGGGACCCTGGGGTGTAGCTGGGACACCCTGGGACCCTGGGGTGTAGCTGGGACACCCTGGGACCCTGGGGTGTAGCTGGGACACCCTGGGACCCTGGGGTGTAGCTGGGACACCCTGGGACCCTGGGGTGTAGCTGGGACACCCTGGGGCCCTGGGGTGTAGCTGGGACACCCTGGGGCCCTGGGGTGTACCTGGGACACCCTGGGACCCTGGGGAGTAGCTGGGACACCCTGGGACCCTGGGGTGTAGCTGGGACACCCTGGGGTGTACCTGGGACACCCTGGGACCCTGGGGTGTAGCTGGGACACCCTGGGACCCTGGGGTGTAGCTGGGACACCCTGGGACCCTGGGGTGTAGCTGGGACACCCTGGGACCCTGGGGTGTAGCTGGGACACCCTGGGGTGTAGCTGGGACACCCTGGGACCCTGGGGTGTAGCTGGGACACCCTGGGGCCCTGGGGTGTACCTGGGACCCTGGGGAGTAGCTGGGACACCCTGGGACCCTGGGGTGTAGCTGGGACACCCTGGGGCCCTGGGGTGTACCTGGGACACCCTGGGGCCCTGGGGTGTACCTGGGACACCCTGGGACCCTGGGGAGTAGCTGGGACACCCTGGGACCCTGGGGGTGTAGCTGGGACACCCTGGGGTGTAGCTGGGACACCCTGGGGCCCTGGGGTGTACCTGGGACACCCTGGGACCCTGGGGAGTAGCTGGGGCACCCTGGGACCCTGGGGTGTAGCTGGGACACCCTGGGGTCCTGGGGTGTACCTGGGACACCCTGGGACCCTGGAGTGTAGCTGGGACACCCTGGGGCCCTGGGGTGTACCTGGGACCCTGGGGAGTAGCTGGGACACCCTGGGACCCTGGGGTGTAGCTGGGACACCCTGGGACCCTGGGGTGTAGCTGGGACACCCTGGGGTGTAGCTGGGACACCCTGGAAACCCTGGGGTGTAGCTGGGACACCATGGGACCCTGGGGTGTAGCTGGGACACCCTGGGACCCTGGGGTGTAGCTGGGACACCCTGGGGTGTAGCTGGGACACCCTGGGACCCTGTGGTGTAGCTGGGACACCCTGGGGTGTAGCTGGGACACCCTGTGGGCCCTGGGGTGTAGCTGGGACTCCCTGGGACCCTGGGGTGTACCTGGGACACCCTTGGACCCCGGGGTGTAGCTGGGACCCTGGGGTGTAGCTGGGACACCCTGTGGGCCCTGGGGTGTAGCTGGGATTCCCTGGGACCCTGGGGTGTACCTGGGACACCCTTGGACCCCGGGGTGTAGCTGGGACACCCTGGGACCCTGGGGTGTAGCTGGGACACCCTGCGGTGTAGCTGGGACACCCTGGGACCCTGGGGTGTAGCTGGGACACCCTGGGGTGTAGCTGGGACACCTTGGGGACCCTGGAGTGTAGCTGGGACACCCTGGGGACCCTGGGGTGTAGCTGGGACACCCTGGGGTGTTGCTGGATTAATGGTGGTGTTCCACCCTAATGGGTGTTTAATGGGGGATCAGACTCGTATGGGTCGGCTTAACGAGAGATGGACGTCGAGGTGACGCAGGTACGTCAGCCTGACGTCACACCAAGCTTCAGTGCACCAAGGATCACTTTGGGAGTCCCGCATGACCTATGAACGCCCCACGCCACACACTTGTCATAATGAAAAGTCGCATTAACCCGTATATTATTCAATATACAACTCCAAGTGTATAACGAACGCGAAATAATTGTTTCTGCTAAATATTAATTGCTCATTCTGTACTGGCCAATATATGCAAATTAATTGCTTGGGGAATACAGTCGTTAATGAGATAATTTTAGATTTCACCAAAAATTAAATAATAACTTGTAGTACAAAACAGGTGTCGTAAGTGTCCACGTAAGTGGTACAGGTGTCGTAAGTGTCCACGTAAGTGGTACAGGTGTCGTAAGTGTTCACGTAAGAGGTACAGGTGTCGTAAGTGTCCACGTAAGTGGTACAGGTGTCGTAAGTGTCCACGTAAGTGGTACAGGTGTCGTAAGTGTTCACGTAAGTGGTACAGGTGTCGTAAGTGTTCACGTAAGAGGTACAGGTGTCGTAAGTGTCCACGTAAGTGGTACAGGTGTCGTAAGTGTCCACGTAAGTGGTACAGGTGTCGTAAGTGTCCACGTAAGTGGTACAGGTGTCGTAAGTGTCCACGTAAGTGGTACAGGTGTCGTAAGTTTTCACGTAAGTGGTACAGGTGTCGTAAGTGTCCACGTAAGTGGTACAGGTGTCGTAAGTTTTTACGTAAGTGGTGCAGGTGTCGTAAGTGTCCACGTAAGTGGTGCAGGTGTCGTAAGTGTCCACGTAAGTGGTACAGGTATCGTAAGTGTCCACGTAAGTGGTACAGGTGTCGTAAGTGTCCACGTAAGTGGTACAGGTGTCGTAAGTGTCCACGTAAGTGGTACAGGTGTCGTAAGTGTTCACGTAAGTGGTACAGGTGTCGTAAGTGTTCACGTAAGTGGTACAGGTGTCGTAAGTGTTCACGTAAGTGGTACAGGTGTCGTAACACTTAAGGAACATTTAGGGTAACACTTAAGGCAACACTTAAGGCAACACTTAAGGCAACACTTAAGGTAACACTTTTTTTTTTTTTTTTTGAGATATATACAAGAGTTGTTACATTCTTGTACAGCCACTAGTACGCGTAGCGTTTCGGGCAAGTCCTTAATCCTATGGTCCCTGGAATACGATTCCCTGCCGCGAAGAATCGTTTTTTCATCCAAGTACACATTTTACTGTTGCGTTAAACAGAGGCTACAGTTAAGGAATTGCGCCCAGTAAATCCTCCCCGGCCAGGATACGAACCCATGACATAGCGCTCGCGGAACGCCAGGCGAGTGTCTTACCACTACACCACGGAGACTGCTAAAGGCAAAGGCAACTTAAGGCAACACTTAAGGTAACACTTAAGGTAACACTTAAAGGAACACTTAAGGTAACGCTTAAGGCAACACTTAAGGTAACACTTAAGGCAACACTTAAGGCAACACTTATGGTAACACTTAAGGTAACACCTAAGGCAACACTAAAGGCAACACTTATGACAACACCTTAGGTAACACTTAAAGCAACACTTAAAGCAACACTTAAGGTAACACTTAAAGCAACACTTAAGGTAACACTTAAAGCAACACTTAAAGCAACATTTAAGGCAACACTTAAGGTAACACTTAAGGCAACACTTAAGACAACACTTACGGCAACACTTAAGGTAACACTTAAGGCAACACTTAAGGCAACACTTAAGGCAACACTTAAGGTAGCACTTAAGGCAACACTTAAGGTAACACTTAAGGCAACACTTAAGGCAACACTTAAGGTAACACTTAAGGCAACACTTAAGGTAACACTTAAGGTAATACTTAAGGTAACACTTAAAGCAACACTTAAAGCAACACTTAAGGCAACACTTAAGGTAACACTTAAGGCAACACTTAAGGCAACACTTAAGGCAACACTTAAGGTAACACTTAAGGTAACACCTAAGGCAACACTTAAGGCAACACTTAAGACAACACTTAAGGCAACACTTAAGCACTAACTGATGTATGGGAAGCTGCTCCGGTCGTTACACGCCTCGTTAACCACCGTTCACCCTCTAATCACCCAATTACTTACGAGTAAGACAAATGTCTTGGAAGAAAACCCGGCCAGGATCCTACAGCATCAGGGCAAATGGACCAACGACAAGCCGCCGGCTTCCTGTCCTCCTCGAGGCCACTAGGGTCAGTGACTCTCAGGTTAATTCAGGTTAATCTCCAGGTGACCAATCCTTGCTAATCTCAGCCTCTGCTGGTATACTGAAGTATTATCATGTATACTGAGAGGCTGCTGTGTATACTGAGAGGCTGCTGTGTATACTGAGAGGCTACTGTGTATACTGAGAGGCTGCTGTGTATACTGAGAGGTTACTGTGTATACTGAGAGGCTGCTGTGTATACTGAGAGGCTACTGTGTATACTGAGAGGCTGCTGTGTATACTGAGAGGCTACTGTGTATACTGAGAGGCTGCTGTGTATACTGAGAGGCTGCTGTGTATACTGAGAGGCTACTGTGTATACTGAGAGGCTGCTGTGTATACTGAGAGGCTACTGTGTATACTGAGAGGCTGCTGTGTATACTGAGAGGCTACTGTGTATACTGAGAGGTTACTGTGTATACTGAGAGGCTACTGTGTATACTGAGAGGCTACTGTGTATACTGAGAGGTTACTGTGTATACTGAGAGGCTGCTGTGTATACTGAGAGGCTACTGTGTATACTGAGAGGTTACTGTGTATACTGAGAGGTTACTGTGTATACTGAGAGGCTACTGTGTATACTGAGAGGTTACTGTGTATACTGAGAGGCTACTGTGTATACTGAGAGGCTACTGTGTATACTGAGAGGTTACTGTGTATACTGAGAGGCTACTGTGTATACTGAGAGGCTACTGTGTATACTGAGAGGCTGCTGTGTATACTGAGAGGCTACTGTGTATACTGAGAGGTTACTGTGTATACTGAGAGGCTACTGTGTATACTGAGAGGCTACTGTGTATACTGAGAGGCTACTGTGTATACTGAGAGGTTACTGTGTATACTGAGAGGCTGCTGTGTATACTGAGAGGCTACTGTGTATACTGAGAGGTTACTGTGTATACTGAGAGGTTACTGTGTATACTGAGAGGCTACTGTGTATACTGAGAGGTTACTGTGTATACTGAGAGGCTACTGTGTATACTGAGAGGTTACTGTGTATACTGAGAGGCTGCTGTGTATACTGAGAGGCTACTGTGTATACTGAGAGGCTGTTGTGTATACTGAGAGGCTACTGTGTATACTGAGAGGCTACTGTGTATACTGAGAGGCTACTGTGTATACTGAGAGGTTACTGTGTATACTGAGAGGCTACTGTGTATACTGAGAGGTTACTGTGTATACTGAGAGGCTACTGTGTATACTGAGAGGCTGCTGTGTATACTGAGAGGTTACTATGTATACTGAGAGGCTGCTGTGTATACTGAGAGGCTACTGTGTATACTGAGAGGCTACTGTGTATACTGAGAGGCTACTGTGTATACTGAGAGGCTACTGTGTATACTGAGAGGCTACTGTGTATACTGACAAGGAGTATTGTGTAAACAAAGGTGCTGGCAGTTGTGAGGGCGCCAGGAGGCCAGGAGGCCAGGAGGCCAGGAGGACGAGACAGCCTCCGCTAGTCTCCTGAAGGATCACCTCCTCCTCCAGTGTGATAGTCCTTCAACACAAGGTCCCACGAGGGCCAGGGATCCAAGCTCCGGGAGTCTCAGGGGTTCGAAGCCTCGACAGAGTTTGAATGAATGAATGAATTATCAGGGGAAAGCGCCGAGCCATAGCGACTATATAGCACTGGGAAGGGGGGAAGGGTACGTGGGATGGGACGGAGAGAAGGAATGGTGCCCCAACCACTTTGAGTGTGAGGGCCTTGTTACGTGAGTGTGTGGTGAGGGCCTCACGGTAATTGGCCAATTAGGCAACAACTAGGACACTCTTGTTTCATTAACTGCCAACAATGGTCTACTTCTCTTCTATATATAATAGAATATCTCTTTGTTAGTCATTCTGTCTGTCTGTCTGTCCATGGACCGAGGCCTTGGACCCTTCGGTCAAGCATCATTAAACTTTGCTGTGTGACTGGAGGGTGGTCTGGGACTGTCATCGGTGGGTCGGGGTTGGCCCCATTGCCCCTTTCAAAGGAGAATCAGCTCCCAGTGGCGACCCCCACGAAGTCGGCGGAGACACAAAAATAGTCAGCTTCGAGTCAGTGAAGTATTCTGATGTATTTGGCTGGAGCAGAACCCGCTTCAGGTATATCCAGGTACTGACACCATGAACACTCCATTTTCTCAAACATCTTTCCGTTCTAGAGCCTCCCATTACTAATGGGTCAACCTTTAATGGGCGACCCGGGCAAATAGGAGCTGCCTCGTATGGACCAATAGGAGCTGCCTCGTATGGACCAATAGGAGTTGCCTCGTATTGACCAATAGCAGCTTCCTCGTATGGACCAATAGAAGCTGCCTCGTATGGACCAATAGCAGCTGCCTCGTATGGACCAATAGGAGCTGCCTCGTATGGACCAATAGCAGCTGCCTCGTATGGACCAATAGCAGCTGCCTCGTATGGACCAATAGCAGCTGCCTCGTATGGACCAATAGGAGCTGCCTCGTATGGACCAATAGGAGCTGCCTCGTATGGACCCATAGGAGCTGCCTCGTATGGACCAATAGGAGCTGCCTCGTATGGACCCATAGGAGCTGCCTCGTATGGACCAATAGCAGCTGCCTCGTATGGACCAATAGGAGCTGCCTCGTATGGACCAATAGCAGGTGCCTCGTATGGACCAATAGGAGCTGCCTCGTATGGACCAATAGAAGCTGCCTCGTATGGACCAATAGCAGGTGCCTCGTATGGACCAATAGACCTGCCTCGTATGGGCCAATAGACCTGCCTCGTATAGCTGCCTCGTATGGACCAATAGCAGCTGCCTCGTATGGACCAATAGCAGCTGCCTCGTATGGACCAATAGCAGCTGCCTCGTATGGACCAATAGGAGCTGCTTCGTATGGACCAATAGCAGCTGCCTCGTATGGACCAATAACAGCTGCCTCGTATGGACCAATAGGAGCTGCCTCGTATGGACCAATAGCAGCTGCCTCGTATGGACCAATAGCAGCTGCCTCGTATGGACCAATAGGAGCTGCCTCGTATGGACCAATAGCAGCTGCCTCGTATGGACCAATAGCAGCTGCCTCGTATGGACCAATAGCAGCTGCCTCGTATGGACCAATAGGAGCTGCCTCGTATGGACCAATAGGAGTTGCCTCGTATGGACCAATAGGAGCTGCCTCGTATGGACCAATAGGAGCTGCCTCGTATGGACCAATAGCAGCTGCCTCGTATGGACCAATAGCAGCTGCCTCGTATGGACCAATAGCAGCTGCCTCGTATGGACCAATAGGAACATCTATTGAAGGAAAGCCACATATTCCGTCAGTTTTGCTTTTGACGGCTTAGGTTTAACACGCTTTCTCCGTCACTTATTCTTTTTCTGTCTCTCTCTCTCTGTCTACACCTGTCTAAACTTGTCCCTCCCTGTCTTCATGTCACTCTGTGCATCTCAGTGTCTCTCCTGTCTATTTCTTTTTCTCCCTTCTATTCTTTCTCTCCCCGTCTATTACTGTCTCTTCTTTGCTGTTTCTCTCTCCATCCGTCTATGCCTGTCTAAAGCTGTTCTTCCTTGTCTCTCCATTACTCCGTGTTTCTCACTCTCTCTCTCTCTCTCTCTCTCTCTCTCTCTCTCTCTCCTCTCTTCTCTCTCTCTCTCTCTCTCTCTCTCTCTCTCTCTTTCTCTCTCTCTTTCTCTCTTCTCTCTCTCTCTATCTCTCTCTCTCTCTCTCTCTCTCTCTCTCTCTATCTCTCCTCTCTCTCTCTCTCTCTCTCTCTCTCTCTCTCTCTCTCTCTCTCTCTCTCTCTCTCTCTCTCTCTCTCTCTCCTCTCT